AGGGATAATGAGTTGATAGAATTTGATTGGTACCACAAGCCAACCTTTTCGAGTAGATGTTTGAACTTTTGGTCACAGCACGCGGTTTCTCAAAAAATAGGTACAATCGCGGGATTAGTTGATAGGATGATTTTGCTTTCGAATCCTATATTCCATTTTGATAATTTGTGTTTTGTAATTAAAGTATTGTTAGAGAATGATTATCCTTTGAGTTTTATATTTGAGAATATTAACAACCGTTTGAAGAATATTATTATGGTTAGTAATAGGAAGAGGGTTGTTAGTGATAATATCGTTGATGTAGTGCAGCCTTCGTGGTTCACTGTCCCTTTCGTTCGTGGTATTACTGAGAAATTTAATAGATTGAATAGCGAGCATATGAGGGTCATTTTATAGTGTTCATAATTTGCGAGAATTTATTAGGGTGCATAAGGACCCCTTACCGCGTGATAAGAAGTCGAAGGTTGTTTATAAGGTTTCGTGCAAGAGTTGCGACGCGAGTTATGTTGAACAGACGTGTTGACAACTGAAGTCAAGAATCACGGAACGTAAGAACCACATCCGATGGAACACGTCTGCTCGCAATGTTATAACGGAACGTCGGTTGCAAGAGGGACACGATTTTGACTGGGACAGTGTTGCAATATTGGACGAGGAATCTCACTACAGGAAGAGATTGATTTCGGAGATGATATTCATCAGAAGACAAACGCATGGACTCAACCTACAGACGGATATGGAAGGGCTTCCGAAGGCTTACCTCCCGATTATAGATAAACTATAAAAGCTCGAGTTGTTGTCACGTCTTGTAAGTCGGTGTCGCTCGTACACAGTAATAAGTCCTTCTGACGAAATTTTTTATCATTTTACAATTTTTATTAGTACTAGCTAATAACTAAAAAGTGACTCACTGTGTCTGATACCGACTGGTCAACATATCAGGAACCGGTTCTTGAATTATTCATGATATTGTTTGCGATACGGTACTTTGTAATTGTGGTGAGCGTCCCTATTTTCGGTTAGTTTTTCGATAAATTAGTTTCTATATTCTTTAATTTGACATTTTTAATATTTTCCTTCTTTTTCATTTTCTTTTCTTTCTTTTTATTTAATTCTGGCATTTAAATTCTCGATGTAGGGGAGCTCACCATGATAGGATAATTTTTACTTTATATATGTTAATGTGTGTTTGCTCTGAGGAAGGCTCAAAAATGAATCGAAACATGTAAGCGCGTTTAGTGAATAAAGAAGTTTCATTCTTTATAAGTGTATTATTTGCGCGACGTCTTCTGCGACTCCTAGTACCCTTACTCTTTCCAATTCTTTAATTTAATTTTACTTGTGATATTATTGCAGTAGTTTAATTGCGTTAGATAGAGTCCGGAAAAATTTCGGCGCGCAGTTTAAATAACTACAAAAATATGATATATGTGCATGTACATATATAGGATGTAGATAATTCACTGGGAATTGTTTATGCAAAAAAGGTCTAGTTTTGACCGTCATAAGCTTGAATATTCTTATACTTAGTGATTAAACGTCTAATTTCCAAAATGTTAAATATTAAAAGTATTAAATGTTAAATATTAAAAGAACACAAAAATAGTCTCAATTTTCAGACAGATACAGAAGGTCTTTACAAAGCGTATATACTAGAGGTGTGCGAGAACCCGAATAGATTGAATCGGATCGGTACGGTAATTTTTGTCGGGATCGGGTAGGATTCCCGAAGCTTTCGGGATTCCCGACAGAGTCGGGATTCTCGAGAATGTTCGGGATTCCCGATAGAGTTGGGATTCTCGAAAAAATTGAGATTCTCGAAAGAATCGAGATCACGATGGATTCAATATTCTCAAGTCTGCCACTTTTCCTGAAAATTCGATTACCGTTTCGAGATTCGTTTTAATAAATTCTTTTCCATAAACTCTTTCGAATTTTCAATTTTTCGCACCTTTTCGAAAGTAGCAATCGGGTTGTCGAAATTTTCGGAAATATAAATTCTTTCGGAAACCTCGACTTTATCGAGAATCTCAACTCCCTCGGAAATCCCGAACATTTTCGGGAATCTCGACTCTATCGAGAATCTCGATACTTTCGAGAATCTCAAAATTTTCGAGATCTGATCCGACTCGACCAGATGTCTTCTCGACCCGTGCTGATCATCGAATTCCCGATATTTTCGGATTCTTGCACAGCTCTAGTATATACTGATTATAAACAAGGTATGAGATTGCAACTAAGATTATACAGGGTGTCCTATTTTGAAAGATTCACTCAAATATCTCAGAAACACTGCGTTAAATCGAAAAGTATTTCAGACAAAAGTTTTATGACTTCGAGGAGGACATAAGATGGTATTATCGGTTTGATCTTGGGTGATGTTAAGGTCAGGATAAGGTCACTTTGAATTTTTTAAACGGAACCTTCAATTTTTCATTGCATATACTTGTAGCTTACCTCGAGAGCTTTATAAAATACTATAATTAAGTTCATTTTCATTAAGTACTTTGCGAGTTATAAGGCTTGAAAGTTACAGTACCGTCGACGTTAGCATTACCCAAGATGTTCGACCGACGGCTAAAACCTCTTGAATGTTGTTTAGGATCATGTCCTGACTATCATAAAAATGAATTTTCAGTGCAAAATTGAAAATAAGAGAAACAATTTCCAGTGACCTTAATCTTAACAAATATTATCCAGGACATGATCCTGAACAACATTTAAAAGGTTTTAGCCGTCGGTCGGACATCTCGGGTAATGCTAATGTCGACGGTACTGTAACTTTCAAGCCTTATAACTCGCAAAGTACTTAATGAAAATAAACTTAATTATAGTGTTTTGGAAAGCTCTCGAGATAAGCTACAAGAATATGTAACGAAAAATTGAAGGTTTCATTTAAAAAATTCAAAATGACCTTGCCCTGACCCTAACAACACCACCCAAGGTCAAACCAATAATACCATCTCATGTCCCCTCGAAGTCACAAAACTTTTGTCTGAAACATTTTTCGATTTAACGCAGTGTTTCTGAAATATTTGAGTGAATTTTTTTAAATAGGACACTGTATATAGATTGAATTATATCAGTCAGCATTAGACTTTCGTAACAGTCACACTATAACTTCTACAGAGTAACTCCGGTATATACGCTGCTATCAAAAACTTAATTTATTAAATATTATTTACTACGTTTAAAATAAACGAACTATATCGGTAAAATCTTTGTATTGTTTACTACTATGAAAAAAATACTAAAAATCCGATATATTTAGTTTTCGTATTGAAACTTAAACTTTTTGAAATCTTGCATTTTTGCTACATATAGATAATGGGTGAGATATATGGCAAAAATGGGGTGTCACCCAGTTGGACATGGCTCAATTGGACACGAGCCACTCACAGCGCTTGAGACTACAAAGCTCCTAAGCACCGGTCGCTGTGATTTGTGGTGTCCAATCGAGCCGTGATCAATCGGGATCACCCCTCAAAAATGCAAGGGTTTCAATAAACTAAACAAAGAATACGAAAGCAAAGCACTTGTATTTTGCTATACAGCATGCTTTACCAAAGATCCAGAAGATGGGAAAATGGGTTCCACATGAACTGAATGAAAGACAGCAGGAAAACCGAAAAACCACTTGTGAAATACTGCTCGCCAGGTACAAAAGAAAGTCATTTCTCCATCGAATTGTGACTGGCGATGAAAAGTGGATATATTTTGAGAATCCTAAGCTTAAA